GATGCTGGGAATCATGACAACCACTATGGCAGACGACTTCGGACTAGGTGCGTTCTACATAGTCGCCTTGACAACAAAACCAAGTTGTGACAACGAGGTTAATCCACTTCTATAAATCGAAAGGAGACTGCGACCATACCAGAGCTCACAACATCTTGGTCTTCATATTTCATTTATCCAGGCTATTTAAAAGGTATTTTTATCAAAGCTGGGCTGAACTGCCGTTTTGACCTCGTATAGGCCTAATCAACACCTCCAACGGGACTCTAACCCGGGTCGTAGCGACACTACTGGTGCTACTGACAATACTCAGGCAAAGTCAAACTGCCGTATATTTTGGCAGTTAATCCTAAGTATATCTAATATATGAAGATCAAGAGGGTGTGGTCCCTGGTACAGTTACAGTCTCTTTTCGATTTATAGGAGTGGTTTGATCTCGATTTCGCAACTTGGTCATGTTGCCAGGGGGACTTAGTAGAACGCACTTTGCCATAGTAGTTATCATAATTCCCAACATCAGACCTTGGAGTTGGTACATTCTCTGACGTTCCGTTGGTATTGTAGTCGGTATTATCAATAATTGAGGTCAACCCACTTCTAAACCATTTTTTTTAAAGCACCTTAACCAATTCAGAATAACAAAGTTCTCATCAAAGTCAACCCTGCAAAGTGGTTTAGTCTCGGATTCCGGTGAGATCAACTCACAAATCTTCATTCCTTCCGTGCTCCAAAAGTGTAGCGCCTCCAATCCCATCCGTGGCTTCCGGCAAAATGGGGTCTACCGATGCAGCGATCGCGATGGACGGCTGCGAATGTCAACCATGAGCAAGCCTGCCATGCTGACCGGTCAACGGGCCAATGCCTGCTCCACAACCCTCGTCTCGGCACGTCGCCCACTTTGGGCCGAGTTGACTCGAGTCCCGCCTGATGCGGTATCCACTTGCCGGTTTCCCATCCCACTGCTGCGGCCTTGCCCGGCCCTGCCCGGTACAGCTGAACCCAGTACAAGTCGAGGGTGCGTCGCGTTCAACTTGTCCATGTTCGAGGTGGTGCGCTTTATGGCCGGTACAGCGAGCCCACACACTGGACCTACATCCACTGGCCATAGCGCACTTGTTAATTGTCATAAGGTCCGAACTGATCAACATGTGGGCAAGAGGAAAGAGCCCAGCGAAAAGCATGGTGATTCACATTAGATAAACGTTTGGCCTGGCTAGATTGTATGCCAACCCCTTGCTCTCTCTCTCTCTCTCACACACACACACATGCACTAACAGCTCCCGCATCGACGCCTCAAATAGCAAATAACTCGTCCATACATGCATGCATCCACC